AACATGAATACAGAACTCAGCCATGTCTTTAAAATGTGTACTGAAAGACAGGAAGGAGATATACAGTACCAACTGGTCATCATGGTGTGGTGGGATTGCAGTTGATTTTTTTGTTGAGTATTTTGCTTTTATTTTTATTTTTTACTGTATTAAAAACATGCATCCACGTAGATGATGTTGACCAGGGATAGGAATGTCTTGGTGTCCCCCTGACTCCTGGGCCCAAGGAAATCCTCTCCTGCCACATGGAGATGAGGGTCTGCATTCATGGGCTCCCACACAGCAGATTCACCCCTGGGCATTCCTTCTGGGAGGGGAAGCCACTTTAAGGCTCCAGACACAAGCCCCCACTTTAGAGATATGGAAGTTCTGCAATCTCAGGGCTGCTTCCTAGCCCAGAGAGGATTTGGGAAAGGGACTAAATTGAGGAACCCACCTCTCTTCCTGTTGGGTTCACAACCACCCCCCACCCCCAAAGGAGTCATGTATTATATAAGTGGGCCACGTGGGCACCCTGAGCAAGGTGATTCTTGAAATGGCAGGGCCCAAACTCCAGAAGTGTCCATTGTTCAGCCTCTCCAATTCCAGCAAGGCAGTACACTTGGCAAGCTGGTTAACTGCCAGAGTCCAGAGACTAGTGTCTCTGGCAAAATGAACTCTGGGTTTGATATGGAGGTTGCCAAAGCAGAAGCTGTGATAGCGCTTCTCAAAGGCTGGCGTGCCTCACCATCACCCCGAGGGCTTCCCCTGCTCCACCCACAGTCTGATTAAGCAGTTCGCACTGATGAAATAAAAATTCGTACTCTGAGCCAAGTCAAGGAAAATTTAAACATAAAAAGTTTTCTCCGGGCTTCCCTGGTGGCGCAGTGGTTGAGAGTCTGCCTGCCGATGCAGGGGACACGGGTTCGTGCCCCGGTCCGGGAAGATCCCACATGCCGCGGAGCGGTTGGGCCCGTGAGCCATGGCCGCTGAGCCTGCACGTCCGGAGCCTGTGCTCCACAACGGGAGAGGCCACAACAGTGAGAGCCCCGCGTACCGAAAAAAAAAAAAAAAAAAAAAAGTTTTCTCCGCTCTTTGGCTTTCTCTCCCCCCTCTGCTGTGCATTGTGTATCTGCATTAAGTATCGACCAAACCTCCCACTGGCAGAAACACCTTCTCAACCATAAAGAACATTCTCCTACCACCAGCCAGGCAGCTCCTTAAAGATAACATTCCTTCTTAATCTTGCAAGAGGTCATGACCACCCATCCCTTGGTACCTGCAGATCTGGACTGTACAAACTGTCTACATCCACAGCCCTCTGTCTCAAAAACCTATAAAACTGTGCTTTGACCTCAAATGAGCAGAACACTTCTCCAAGGTTTCCAAGAGGCTGTTCCCAGGTTCTAATCCTCAATTTGGTGCGAATAAAACTTCTCATTCCTCTCTTAGATTGAAATTTTCGTCGATAGTACTCTGGGCCTAGGAATTAGAATTTGAATAAATACCCCTATACCGTTTTTCAACACGGGCTCTCGGACAGGATCCTCCTATTCTGCATAAATTACCTGCCCTTAGCGTCAGACTCCACAAGTTTAAGGAATCGGTCTCACAAGACGCCCTCACTTCAGATGCCGCCTGGGAGTCCAGGTCTCCAGGCCCCCCACACTTCTGTACGATTCGGCTACAAATTCAAAGGTTCTCATACCAACCCTCTCTCCCCCGCCATTTTCGATAATTCACTGAAATGACTCATAAAACTCTGGAAAGCCCTATACTTACAATTCCAGTCGTCCTTCAGTACTCTCAGAAGACTGGTTTCAGGAGACCTCACAGGTACCAAAAGCCACCGACGTGCAGGCCCGTGCAGGCCCCCGACATAAAATGGCGCGGGGCAGTGACTACAGTAAGCCTTCCCTATGTGCGGGGTTTCGCATCTGCAGATTCAACCAACCACTGACCTTCAATTAGTAGCAGGTCGAATCTGCTGATGCGAAACGTGAGGTTATGGAGGGTCGACTGCACTGCTTTATTGTAAATGACACAGCTCAGGATCTGACAAATAGATCTATAGAGGAAGTAGGAAGTAGGGGGCACAGAGCTTCTGTGCCCTCTCTGGGTGTGCCACCCTCTCAGCACATGAAATGTTCACAAATCTAGAAGCTCCCAGAACCTCATTATTCAAGAGTTCTTATCCAGGCTTCGTCAGTGGGCACAATCGATTAAATCATTGGCTGTATGTGATTGAACTTGATCTACAGCCCCTCTCCTTTCCAGGGTGTCAAGGGTGGCACTGCAAGTTCCAGTCCTCTAAACACGTTTAGTCTTTCTGTTGTGGCCAGCCCCTCCCCAGAAACTCAGGGCCCACCAAGAGTTGTGTTGCCAGCACACACTCAAGTATGGTTCAAAAGTGGTTTGTTATGAATATCAAACATGATAGCACTCAGAAAATTCAACATTCTTTAGTATCTCTGTGCCAAGAACCAGGGACAAAGAACAATATATTTTTTTGTTATATGCCACCACCCTTCCCTGCCCCCACATGATTCTGATGCGGGTGATTCTTACATGTTGAGAACCACTGTGTAAGAAGATATTGATAACACTTGAAAACTCTAAGTATCAGTACCATTTTGGTAGGTAGAGAATTCTTTTTTTTTTTGCGGTACGCGGGCCTCTCACTGCCGTGGCCCGTCCCATTGCAGAGCACAGGCTCTGGACGCGCAGGCTCAGCGGCCATGGCCCACGGGCTCAGCCTCTCCGCGGCATGTGGGATCTTCCCGGACCGGGGCACGAACCTGTGTCCCCTGCATCGGCAGGCAGACTCTCAACCACTGCGCCACCAGGGAAGCCCAGAGAATTCTATTTTTGATGTAGGCTTCTCTCTTTACCTTATTATGTCCTTCCCTCCTCTTCACTAAAGTCCTTCAAGACACAGTTGTAGCCCATCTTTCAGTCCCCATGGAGCTCCCTCTTATTGGTGTTCCATGGTGCCGGACTGATTTGTAGAATTCTCTTTGGCCCATTACATGTTTGCAATGCTCCTTAATTCTTGTGTATGTCTGCCTGTCTCATCTCCCCAGCTGTCTATGGATACTGCCTTACTCTTTATTAAGTCCTAATGCAAGATTTCTTATCTTTAGAGCATGGTGCTAACTCAAAGGAAGCTTTCAATAAATGCTTAATGGGAATAAGTGAAGGTATGAATGCTGGGCCTAATATAGTAGGAAGGTGCAAGTGTCTTGTGTTCAATTTGGATATCATAAATTTTTGCCAATCATCTGAGTGAATCCAACATTATGATTAAAGTCCTTACCTTGAATCAGGTAATTTGTAATGAATGTCTAAGCAGAACTCGTACCTTGGAATGACCACAATGAAGTACCAGGCAACCAACTTGGGGGACATATCAGTAGGTACGATGATCGGTAGGTACGATGATCGGTGGAATGATAACTAGACTTGAAATCAGAGAATGTAGGGTCACAGCCTCCATCTGTCCCTTGCTAACTGTGAGGCCTTGGGGCAAGTTGCTTGCTTGAGTGTTTCATTCACTTACTCATTATTTCAACCATCCATCATTGAGAACCTATTGTATGCCAGGGACTGCACTATATACTTTATATGTTATCTCACTTAATCAGCATGACACCTCTCTAGAGTAGATAGGCATCTTCCCAATTTATAATTTTGTACTTGAAGAAAAATCACATTTCTGTGTCCTCCTTGGCAATTGCACCTTTCAGCCTCCAGACTTCCTTCTCAGGGTTCCTGAGCTCTGAACCCTGGAGCAGTTATCATCATCCTGCTTGGCCTCTGAGGCCTTAGAGTCTAGAAAAAGAACTCAAGCTTGAATAAAATTTTAGCATTGGAAGGAATGTGAGAGGTGGTCTAATTCACCCGCATTCAAATGAGGACTGGAGCCAGGGTTCCAAATCAGGGAATGGGAGGAGACATTTCCAGAAAAGCTTCCAATGCCCTGGGTCTCTCTCATCCTGGCTTCTCCGCACTGCCTTTGTGTTGAAGTTGTGGCAGACAGAGGGCCATAGGGAGTGCTATCAGATCCAGGACATTTGCAGAGGCTGGCAGCTCTGAAGTTTCCATCCAGACTCCGAGGACTAAGGTGGAATCAAACATGGTCCTTGCCTGGTGTCTTCATCCTAACCCGTATTTCCATTTCTCCATCAGGCTAACCAATGTAAACCAACCAAATCTATGTGTCCTGGCTGGGGTGGGCCAGGGTGGAGTACAGATGTGTTTGTCAGAAGAAACCCTTGAATGTTCCTGAAGCAGATGTAAGTTATGTGGTTCCCAGCAAAAACAAAGGGTTTCCCTTCAACTCTGACCACTGGTAAGGTTAGAAGACCAGAGTTGAAAAAAGGCAGAGTTAAACTACAGCTTGGCTAAACAAAATAAAGACACAGTGTTTAACTCTCACTTCAAAATGTATGAGCATTTGTTGTTATGTTAAAAAAGCAAATCCTGTGGGAAGTGTAGTTACATGGGGCTGGTTTGGATAGGCTGCACCACTTCCCTCACCCCCAGAACGAAACCAGCCAACAACAACAAGAATCCTACAGCTGGAATGTATTCTGGACTTCTAATCTGAATATTTACCCGTGATTGTACTTTTTTTTTTCCTCACAGCGTTCCCATACACATAAGCATACATTTGAAATCAAGACCCCAAATCCCTGGAGTAAAACCTATTTCATGAGTCACACTTTTCATCCAATTCAAGCTTAGCGGCTTGAAGAAAAAAAAAACACTAACTACAATCTAAATTCACAGGCAAAGCCATCAACTCCAGTTGACTCACCAAAGTCTTATTTTATGAACAAGAAGTACTTTCTTTTGCATGTGGGCTCACATAGGAGAGAGCTCTGATGATGCAAATATTGTTTCTGTTGGACTTTGGAAGGAGTCAAGTGACCTTTCTGTCGTGTTGTTGTTAGCAGCAGATTTGCCCTCCAGATTATGTTGGACATAAGCTGATGTTAAAAATCATTTTGCTTTCCCAGGGTCACCCAGGTCACAGGCAGGAGAAGGGACATATGGCACAACTTGAGGAAACACCGCTGCCCAGTGGGGACCAACCACATAATTTTCTGGATAAGCCTGATGCCTAGGAGGACTATGGTTTTTGGAAAAGCACATTTCTTACGTTGAACTGAATTTTGCCTTGGGCTTGTCCTGTTGCTCAGAAATAAGACACTCTCTGCAACAAGCGCTGGAGAGGTCTCTGCTGTACATTTGCTTCAGGGTTTTTCCTCAACTATCTGTGCCTGAACAAACACAAAAACTGCAGTTCTTGGCTTCCTGCCCATCTGGAGCGGGGAAGCATCCTGCTACATCGGCAAGATATCAACCGGAGTTTACAGGAAAGTGAACAAGAATGGCCTCTTATCCACGTCTGGAGAAAAATCCCTCCCAGGATTTGAGGTCTGCTGTGAACCACAGAGAAAACACCTTATCGGTAGGTAAGGGAGCCTTCCCGTCATTCTTATAGCATCGTCCCCTCAGTCCAAATGTCATGCACACTTTAGAATAAGCCAAACCCTTCGCTAAGAGGCGAGAAGGAGGTAGGCGAGCAGTTCGTCATTTGTGGTCAAAGTGGTGGGTTTTTTAAAAAATTTATTTTATTGAAGTATGTTGATTTACAATGTTGTGTTAATTCCTGCTGTACAGCAAGGTGATTCAGTTATACATATATAGACATTCTTTTTCATATTCTTTTCCATTATGGTTTATCACAGGATATTGAATATAGTTCCCTATGCTATAGAGTAGGACCTTGTGGTTTATCCATTCTATATGTAATAGTTTGCATCTGCTAATCCCAAACTCCCAATCCATCCCTCTCCCCACGCCACTTCTGCCTTGGAAACGAAATGGTGGGATTTTAAAGAATCCTGATGGTGTTAACAAATCTGACCTTTAGAGGTTGCCTGCCACTGAATGGGCACATCTGGGTGTTCAGTGAAGTGAGTGTTGCCAGACTTCCAAAGTCTTCAGCACAGGGGGGAAAGGTAATGTGGAAGCTGCTAGGGTGAGGCAACAGGGGTGTGGGACTTGGAGCATACAGGTGGGTCCTGCCTTACGACCCTCAAGGTCAATTCAAAGCAACAATAGCAGTAGCAGCAACAGCGGCATTCAACAGTGACCTATGTGGTCACAGCTCTCAATTCAGACATTCGTGCTTATGGGCTCCTGAGCCTGGTACTGTTGGGGGTAGGCAGAGCAAATCTGGTTCCTGGAGGATCTCGCAGGTTTCATGTCTTAAAACATCACTAGTCCCATGTTCTGCTAATTAGCAACCAACAAGCAGCCACAGATGGTGCTCACTACCATGCAGTAAATTGAATGGATAACCAATATAACAATGAGTGTCACCTGAGCATCTAGTATTATGTACCAGGGCTTGAACTAAGTGTGAGGATTCATTGAACCTTTCCAACAAGCTTGTGAAGTTGGCACTCTTACAAACCCAACCTTGCAGATGAGGATACCAACACTCAGGGAGGTGAGGTGACTTGCCTGAGGTCATGCAGCATTGCATGCTGGGCATTTCTGGCATGTAGGCAGCACTGCGGGGGTGGGTCACCATGTCCATGGTGAACCCATAGCTCAATTTACAGAGAGAGCCTTTGATGATCTGACCAGTAGGGAAGGCTGATCTGCTGCAGCATTTCAGAGCTACTGGATAGTGGATCCTTGAAGGCAGTGTCCAGGCATGTAGTAGAGGCTTAATAAATATTGATAGGGACTTCCCTGCTGGCGCAGTGGTTAAGAATCCACCTGCCAATGCAGGGGACGTGGGTTTGATCCCTGGTCCGGGAAGATGCCACATGCTGCAGAGCAACTAAGCCCAAGTGCCGCAACCACTGAGCCTGCACTCTAGAGCCCAAGAGCCACAACTACTGGGCCCATATGCCACAACTACTGAAACCCACCGCCTAGAGCCTGTGCTTCGCAACAAGAGAAGCCACCACAATGAGAAGCCTGCGCACCACAACAAAGAGTAGCCCCCGCTTGCCGCAACTAGAGAAAGCCCGTGCACAGCAACAAAGACCCAATGCAGCCAAAAATTAAAATTCAAAGAAAAAATATTAAAAGCAGCAAGGGAGGGCTTCCCTGGTGGTGCAGTGGTTGAGAGTTCGCCTGCCGATGCAGGGTACACGGGTTCATGTCCCGGTCCGGGAGGATCCCGCATGCCGTGGAGCAGCTGCGCCCATGAGCCATGGCCGCTGGGCCTGTGCGTGCAAAGCCTGTGCTCCGCAATGGGAGAGGCCACAACGGTGAGAAGCCCGCGTACCGCAAAAAAAAAAAAAAAAAAAATGCAGCAAGGGAAAAACAAAAAATAACATACAAAGGAATCCCCATAAGGTTATCAGCTGATTTTTCAGCAGAAACTCTGCATGCCAGAAGGGAGTGGCAGGATATACTTAAAGTGATGAAAGAGGAAAACCTACAACCAAGATTAACTCTACACAGCAAGGATCTCATTCAGATTTGATGGAGAAATCAAAATCTTTTCAGACAAGCAAAAGCTAAGAGAATTCAACACCACAAAACCAGCTTTACAACAAATGCTAACGAAGCTTCTCTAGGAAGGAAACACAAGAGAAGGAAAAGACCCACAAACACAAACCCAAAACAATTAAGAAAATGGTCATAGGCACATACATGTTCATAATAACCTTGAATGTAAATGGATTAAATGCTCCAACCAAAAGACAAAGAATGGCTGAATGGATACAAAAACAAGACCCATTTATATGCTGTCTACAAGAGACCCACTTCAGACCTAGGGACACATACAGACTGAAAGTGAGGGTATGGAAAAAGATATTCCATGCAAATGGAAATCAAAAGAAAGCTGGAGTAGCAATACTTGTATCAGATAAAATAGACTTTAAAATAAAGACTGTTACCAGAGATAAGGAAGGACACTACATAATGATCAAGGGATCAGTCCAAGAAGAAGATATAACAATTAGAAATATTTATGCACCCAACATAAGAGCACCTCAATACATAAGGCAAATGCTAACAACCATGAAAGGGGAAATCGACAGTAACACAATAATAGTAGGGGAATTTAACACCCCACTTACACCAATGGACAGATTATCCAAACAGAAAATAAATAAGGAAACACAAGCTTTAAATGACACAATAGATCAGATAGATTTAATTGATATTTATAGAACATTCCACCTGAAAGTGGCAGAATACACTTTCTTCTCAAGTGCACATGGAACATTCTCCAGGATAGCTCACATCTTGGGTCACAAATCAAGCCTTGGAAAATTTAAGAAAATTGAAATTGTATCAAGCATCTTTTCTGACCACAACGCTATGAGATTAGAAACCAATTGCAGAAAAAAATCTGTAAAAAAACACAAATACATGGAGGCTAAACAGTGCGATACTAAATAACCAAGAGATTACTGAAGAAATCAAAGAAGAAATTAAAAAATACATAGAAACCAATGACAACAAAAACACGACGACACAAACCCTATGGGATGCAGCAAAAGCAGTTCTAAGAGGGAAGTTTATAGCAATTCAATCTCACCTCAAGAAACAAGAAAAATCTCAAATAAACAATCTAACCCTACACCCAAAGCAACTAGAGAAAGAAGAACAAAGAAAACCCAAAGTTAGTGGAAGGAAAGAAATCATAAAGATCAGAGCAGAAATAAATGAAACAGAAATGAAGAAGACAATAGCAAAGATCAATAAAACTAAAAGTTGATTCTTTGAGAAGATAAACAAAATTGATAAACTCTTAGCCAGACTCATCAAGAAAAAAAAGGAGAGGATGCAAATCAATAAAATTAGAAATGAAAAAAGGAGAAATCACAATTGACACTGCAGAAATACAAAGCATCCTAAGAGACTACTACAAGCAACTCTATGCCAATAAAATGGAAGAAATGGACAAATTCTTAGAAAGGTATAACCTTCCAAGACTGAACCAGGATGAAATAGAAAATATGAACAGACCAATCACAAGTAATGAAATTGAAACTGTGATTAAAAATCTTCCAACAAACAAAAGTCCAGGACCAGATGGCTTCACAGGTGAATTCTATCAAACATTTAGAGAAGAGTTAACACTGTTCCTTGTCAAACTCTTCCAAAAAATTACAGAGAGAGGAACACTCCCAAATTCATTCTATGAAGCCAACATCACCCTGACACCAAAACCAGAAAAAGATATCACAAAAAATAATAAAGTTATACACCAATACCACTGATGAACATAGATACAAAAATCCTGAACAAAATACTAGCAAACAGAATGCAACAACATATTAAAAGGATCATACACCATGATCAAGTGGGATTTATCCCAAGGATGCAAGGATTCTTCAATATATGCAAATTAATCAATGTGATATACCAATTTAACAAATTAAGGAATAAAAACCATATGATGATCTCAATAGATGCAGAAAAAGCTTTTGACAAAATTCAACACAAATTTATGATAAAAACTCTCCAGAAAATGGGCAATAGAGGAAACCTACCTCAACACATAAAGGCCATGTATGACAAACCCACAGCAAACATCATACTCAATGGTGAAAAACTGAAAGCATTTCCACTAAAATCAGGAACAAGGCAAAGATGTCCTCTATCGCCACTCTTATTCAACATAGTTTTGGAAGTCCTAGCCATGGCAATCAGAGAAGAAAAAGAAGTAAAAAGAATACAAATTGGAAAAGAAGACATAAAACCGTCACTGTTTGCAGATGACATGATACTGTACATAGAAAATCCTAAAGCTGCCACCAGAAAACTACTAGAATTAATCAATGAATTTGGTAAGGTTGCAAGGTACAAAATTAATGCACAGAAATCTCTAGCATTCCTATACACTAACAGCAAAAAATGAGAAAGAGAAATTAAGGAAACAATCCCATTTACCATTGCAACAAAAATAATAAAATACCTAGGAATAAACCTACCTAAGGAGGTGAAAGACTTTTACTTAGAAAACTCTGAAACACTGATGAAAGAAATCAAAGATGACATAAACAGATGGAGAAATATACCGTGTTCTTGGATTAGAAGAATCAATATTGTGAAAATGACTATACTACCCCCAAGCAATCTACAGATTCAGTGCAATCCCTATCAAACTACCAATGGCATTCTTCACAGAATTAGAACAAAAAATTTTACAATTCATATGGAAACACAAAAGACCCCCAAATAGCCAAAGCAATCTTGAGAAAGAAAAACAGAGCTGGAGGAATCAGGCTCCCTGACTTTAACCTATACTACAAAGCTACAATAGTCATGACAGTATGGTACGGTCACAGAAACAGAAATATAAATCAATGGTACAGGATAGAAAGCCCAGAGATAAACCCACGCACATATCGTCACCTAATTTACAACAAAGGAGGCAAGAACATACAAATGGAGAAAAGATGGCCTCTTCAATAAGTGGTGCTGGGA